GGTAATATTTCATATTTGTGAAACAATGAGCGTAATTGTTACATCCATTAGTTTTAAAATTTGAATTCACATGGAGAAATGCTAGTACAGTGTAGCTGTGAGGAGCACTGATTCTGGAGCTCGTCCACGGGGGTGTTAGTCCTGGGTCTGCCGCTTACTAGCTATGGGACTGTGGGCAAGTCATTTGACCCTTGCAGGCTTTAGTGTATCATTTATAAACTCGAGCCTACAATAATATCCACCATACAGAATTGTTGAGACCTGGGTTAATATTGTAAAGCAATTAGAATAGTGCTGGGCCCATTGAAAACACTATTTAGGTATTAAATAGTATTAAGTAAAATAGCGTAAGTTAGCTGTAACCCAGACTTTGTGCTTTTATTTCTCATCTGTGAAATGGAGAGATCTTTAGCTCAGAGGGATAGGTGCATGTTATGGTAATGCCCATAATAGCTGTTACTTGGAAGTTCTTCAAAAGAAAGTTGGTAGAAGTTTTTGTTTACTATTATAATTATCAATATAATCACAGTGTATTTTCAATAGAAAAAAAACCTATCAACTAATACATATAGTAGGTTTTGATTGAACACCTTACTGTTTTTGCACCTTTGTCCTAGAAAGAAAGGGTAGCTTTTTCATGGCAGAAGATACCAAATTAATCATTGTGACTCCATTGCTCTTGACATAATAATCCATACAAATTACCTGAGTGGTATTAAGAAAATAATTTGTATAATCTGTGATGTAAGAAATCAATTGTTTCATTATTTATCAACCATTGTGCAATTTTTATTTAATTTGGTTTGTTATATATTATTTTACTGCTCTATTAACTTAATGATTTGAGCAATTATTTATAGTTTGTGATATGAGGCAATAGATTTGGAGGATATTATTAGATAATTTATGATAAAATGATGTTTGTGAACATTATAGAGAATTCTACTATTTTAATCTAATGCTGTTTACAGTTTATATAATAAATTTATATTTTACAAAGTTTGTATCATATAACTACATATGTAACTTTCCATTGACAACTGTATATGTAACTTTTTGTTGACAGAGAGGTATGGTAGGTATCAATGTTATTTAACATAGAATAGGTAGCTGATAGAACCCATAGCCTTCAATTTCTTCATTTATCAATGGAAATACTTTACTGTTGCTGGAAGATTCCAATGTAAAGAAAATAAAATAAGTGATTTGATGTTCTACCACTGTTTATTTTCTCATGACAACTGCTAATTACAAATCTTCTACTAATCCTTCAGCTCTTAGAAATTCCTCATCGATGTGTTTGTCCTGACTTTAGAGCATGTGCTTCTCATCATACCAGGACTCACGTTTTCATCTGTTATGTTTATTTGCATTTGCTTCTGTGGATTCCCTAGATCCCTTCCCTCTAGGTGTATAGATTGGACTGGCCTGATGCTAATAAAAGTTTCTCCAGAGGAAAACAGACTACCAGTGCATGCTCTTATTTGCAATTCTTAATCCCAAATCTTTGAAAACTAAAAAAAAAAAAAAAAAGCAACCTCATAACTGGCAAATCTGACCTGAATTGATATGAAATTAATTTATTGTCTTTATCTGGTTTACTATGAATATATATATATATACTCCACCACAGAAATATTAACATTTTGTTTACTGGGTGCTGCTCCAAGCCCTGGTAGAAGTGTTACACAGGGTGGAGCAGATATAGGTTTAGTACATGAGGCATAGTTTCTTTTTGTATTATTATTTATTAATTATTATATTATTTTTCAGGTGAACAACTGTAAGCCTACATTTTTCCTACTGTGTATACATCATATACACTATATTGTTCTAAAATTCTGGAAAATTCATGTATTCTGAACTACATGTAGTTTTTGCCTGCAAAACTTACATGTGACTTATAATCTTGATTGTTTTTGATATTCTGTAATCATAAGCACTGTGTTGTTAAGAATATAAGATTTATAATCTAGTTATGAATGTTAATCTTTAACTTTTTAGATTATCTATAGTAGAGTTTTTTAAATGTATTTTATTGATTGTGCTATTACAGTTGTCCCAATTTGCCTCCTTGGTCTCCCTCCACCCAGTACCCCCATTCTCTCCAGCAACCCCTCCTGCCTTAGTTCATGTCCATGGGCCATGAATTGAAGATCATTGGCTACTCCATTTCCTATGCTGTTCTTAACACCCCCCTTTATGTTTTGTAGCTACCAATTTGTACTTCCTAATCCCTGCACCTTTTACCTCATCGCCTCCCTCCCCCTCCCAGCTGGTAACCCTCCATTTCTGTGATTGATTCTGTTCTGCTTGTTTGCTTAGTTTGTTCTTTAGATTCAGTTATTGATAGTTGTGAATTTATTGCCATTTTGCTGTTTATAATTTTGATCTTTTCCCTATATAATTCCCTTTAACATTTTATGTAATACTGGTTTGGCAATAATGAACTCCTTTAGTTTTACCTTGTCTGGCTGTGAAGCACTTTATCTGCCCTCCCATTCTAAATTATATCTTTGCTGGATAGAGTCATCTAGGTTGTAGGTTCATGATTTTCCTCACTTTGAATACTTCTTGCCAGTCCCTTCTAGCCTGCAAAGTTTCTTTTGAGAAATCAGCTGAGAGTCTTATGGGTACTCATTCGAAGGTAATTCTCTGCTTTTCTCTTGCTGTCTTTAAGATTCTCTCTTTATCTTTCACCTTTGGCATTTTAATTATGATGTGTCTTGGTGTGGTCCTCTTTGGATCCATCTTGTTTGGGGGTCTCTGTGCTTCCTGGACTTGTATGTCTATTTCCTTAACCAAATTAGGGAAGTTTACTTTCATTATTTTTCAAGTAAGTTTTCAAGTTCTTGCTCTTTCTCTTCCCTTTCTGGCTCCCCTATGATTCAAATGTTGATATATTTGAAGTTGTCTCTTTGTCTCATTTGAAGCCTCTTAGAGGCTTCTTAGCCTATCCTCTTTTTTTTTTTTAACAGATTTTTAAAAAATATTTTATTTATTTATCTTTAGAGGGGAAGGGAAGGAGAGAGGGAGAGAAACATCAATGTATGGTTGCCTTTTGTGCATCCCCTGCTGGGAACTGGCCTGCAGGGAACTGGTCTGCAACCCAGGCATGTGCCCTGACTGGGAATCAAACCACGATTGTCTGGTTCGCAGGCCAGCACTCAATCCACTGAGCTACACCAGCCAGGGCTGCCTATCCTCTTTTTAAAAATTCTTGTTTTTTTCTTGCTGTTTGCATTGAATGCTTTTTTCTTCCTAATGGTTAAATTAAGGAGACAAAGAAATATGGCCAAATGAAAAAACAGAACATAATTCCAGAAAAAGAACTAAATGAAATGGAGATGAGCAATCTATCAGATGCAGAGTTCAAAGCACTGGTTATCAGGATGCTCAAGGAACTCATTGGGTACTTCAACAGCATAAAAAAGACTCAGGAAGAAATGAAGGTTACATTAAGTGAAATAAAGAAAAGTCTACAGGGAACCAAGAGTGGAGGGGATGAAGCTAAGAAACACCAATTCAAAAGAACATATCGACCCCAATGTTCATAGCAGCAGAATTCACAAATTCTGGAAACAAGCTATGTGCCCATCAGTAAATGAATGAATCAGGAAACTATGGGACATTTACTTGATGGAATACTACACAGCAGAAAGAAAGAAGGAGCTCCTACCTCTTGGGACAGCTTGCATGGAACTGGAAAGCATTATGCTAAGTGAAATAAGCCAGGTGGTGAAAGACAAATACCATATGATCTCACCTACAAGTGGAACCTAGTCAATAAAACAAGCAAGCAAAATGTAGCCAGAGTCATTGAAATTAAGAACAAACCGACAGTAACTAGAGGGGAAGTGGGAGGTTATAATGGGGGGGAAAGTGAGGAAGTGTTTTCAGGTCATCTATAAAGGACACATGGACAAAGCCTAAGGGGGTTAGAATCGAGGGTAGGAGGTAGGGATGCCCAGGGTGGGGGGAGGGTGGTGGGAAAGTGGAGACAAATGTGCTTGAACAACAATTTTAAAAATAAAAATAAAAGTAAAGTAAAAAAATTAAAAAATTATATGGAACATAGATTGTGTATAGTTTTAATACATCAATAAATATTATTATAATTAATGGTTCCAACATCCTTGAACCAAATAATTATTGGTAATGTGGATAGCCAAATTCTCATATACCACGTTTATATTTGACTGGTTGCCCTGGCCCGTGTCATTCAGTTGGATGGAATGTTGTTGCTTAAACTAAAAGGTCACAGGTTTGATTCCTGGTCAGGGCACAATTCTGGGTTGCAGGGTTGGTTTCCAATCAGGCACTGGTAAGAGGCAACCGATTGGTATTTCTCTCTCTCCCTTTTTCTCTAAACATGTCTTCAAGTGAGCATTTTAAAAAAAAGGAAGAAATATTTGACTGCCTTTACACATTATTTACAAAAATTAATGATGAACTCCAAATTAACATGAGCCACGCCCTGGATGGTGTGGCTAAGTTGGTTGGAGCGTCTTCCTGTAGATCAAAAGGACCCAGGTTCAGTTCCGGTCAGGGCACATTCCCAGGTTGTGGTTTCCTGGTCAGGGCATGTGCAAGAAGGCAACCAATCTGTTTTCCTCTGTCTCTCTCTTTCTTTCCCTTCTCTTCCCCAAAACAATGAGAAAAGTCCTCAGGTGAGGATAAAAAAGAATTAACATGAGCTCCATAAACAGGTTCCTAGTATGTGAGTACAATGGCTCTTTAAGGGATATCTTGTCATACTAAGATTGTATGTTGCTTCTATATTCAGCCTTTTGGGTGAGGCTTTATGACCCTCTCCCCATTTTTCTTCCTCAGTCTGGGAGAAGAAATCTGTTTATGTCGTTTGCATTGTTTTTATAGTATGATTTCTCATGTAGGATATATATGTATATATATATACATTTCAAGGCACATAACATTTTAATGAGAGATATTAATACTAATTTGCTTGTAAAAGTCTAACTTTGAACTATTATTTTTAGGTATTTACTCCCGAGCAGTACACAATTCTTCATGAAAACACCAACCTACAACTTGAAGTACAGTTCACCTGGAATGACTCGCTCCAGTGTTTTGTTTACATCCCGATACGGCCATTTGTGAAGTAGAAGGGAAGACCACCAGCGGTTATGCATAGGAGCAGTTCATTTTCCCCCTAATGTAAACATGCAAAGGAAGTAACCATTAAGTGCTGTTTTATGTATATATGACGTATATATGTGTGAAATATAGACACACATTTACTCAAATAACATGTATATTTATTATAATACATAAAAGAAGAGTTAGCAGAAAACTTGGATATATAAGATTTAACCTTTCTGGAAATGTAATAAACCATGTTAATATTGTTTACAAATATGTGAATGTCTAGAATTTGCCAGGTTTATAAATACCTTCCTACTAGAAATGTTATTTTTGCTGCAGAGTATATGAAACAGAATTGATCTTGAAGATCCCATAACAGTGTTAAATTATTTTCTAGATGACATGTCTGACTTAAAAAAATTAATAGTATAATACCTTATTCTCTTATGTATAGAGTAGCCATATAAAATGAAGAAAAATTAGAAGCCTGGTGTTGCTCTGATGGTAGGATTAATATGAAACGGGTTTATCATTACTATAGTACACTGTAAAGTGCTATAAAAATCTCACCCTAACTCTTCAACATTTTTATTTCTCCATGTGCAAATTTAGCTACTTATGGTAATGTAAATTTTCAGTAAGGATCTAGTGAGATCCTATTCTGATCTAAAATGGAAGACAATCCAGTGGGTTAAGAATAAACAAAATATAAATTAAATTTGCTTTCATTTTTACTTTACATTGAGAGTTTCATAAAGGCAAAAAAAATGATGACAATGACAAAGTCTTCTCATGATTTTGGCATCTCATACCACTAGTTTTTATTTGGAAAGTGTATCTCCAGTGGGCGTATACAGTCAAATACAGTTTTTTCTATTCTTCAGAAGTGGAAGAGTTGACATTTCAAACTCATGTTGGTGTTATATGGTAATGCGTCACATTTGTTTTATGTCTTTCAATTTTGAGACCAAATTAAACCGTAGTCTAGTCCAGTTGCACATTGCGCCACAGAAAATAATCTACAGTATTGCAAATAGAAGATTCTGATTACTGGATATTATTAGTTAGGGTGTACCCTTAAGAATTTTAAAAAATCAAAAAAGTATGAGATTTCTTCTTGTTCAGAGTTAATATGCATAACTTTCATAGGAGTTTACTTCCATTTCTTGAGCCCTGGCTGGTGTGGTTCAGTGGATTGAGTGCCACGTTATGAACCAAAAGGTTGCTGGTTCAGTTCCCAGTCAGGGCACATGCCTGGGTTGTGGGCCTAGTCCCCAGTTGGGTACATGCGAGAGGCAACTGATTGATATATCTCTCATATAGCGATGCTTCTCACCCTCTCTTTGTCTCTCCCTGCTCCTCTCTGTAAAAGTAAATAAATAAAAAAAATATATAATGAGTTTTCAGCATTCCATGAAAACATACACTGCCATTGATATGGGAATCCTTAGAAATTGCAATATTTACTTTTTACAATTTTGTTTCAACTTCTCTGCCACATTTTATTTTCTCACAGATGCTAATTATCTGCAAAATTTATGATCATTTTATGCCCTTTTATTGTCCTAAAAGCTATTTTCAGTAAATCAGTTCCCAAGATGGAAAACTGAGGGAAGCAAACTATCCTGGTTTAATTCACAAGCTGAATCATTGGCAACCCAAAGTTGTAAGTTAGATATACTTTGTTTTTAAAGCCATATGCTGAGTCTGTGTTAGACTAGATTAGGTTGTTCTCTGAATTATTGCTAGTTACTTGATTGTTTATGACTATTTAACACCCATTTTCTGGTAGGTACTTCTTGCTAGATGATCCCAGAGAAGAACTTGTTATTGTCTTTGTGAAAAAAGGAGCATAAGGATGTCAAGATAAAGGAAATTACTGCGTGATCTAAGTGTTTATGACTTCATTTTGTAAATTCTTAAGCATGTGTTATAGATTTCTTAGAATAAATAATGCAAAAGTGGGGATATTACAAAATCATAAGAATGATCAGGAAATAGGCCTTTTTAAGGAGTATTTTTAGTCACTTTTCTTTTAAAATCACACTTTCCCATGAATGAAACACAATTTCAGGTGTCTGGTATATGATATCAATGCTTTTTGTTGGTTCCTAACTTACATTAGTTTAAATAAAACATGGTTATTTAATTTGCTGGAGTGGGTGCCTTTGAACTTCAGTCCTTAGTTGTGCAAGAGTGTAATTTTATTTAAAACAAAAAAAGGAGAATGTCCAACTTGGGGATGCATCGTCTCCTCCTAGCAATACACAGCACACACACATACACTCAAAGCATTTTAAAATCGAGAGCAACTTTAAATATAGGAACTACCCAAATAATTGATGAAAAATTTCATTTCTCTAGCTACTTAAGTCTGCCTTGTATTTTTGAACACTAGAATTTCATTGCCCACATTCGCCTCTTCATACTGATCTAGTTTGATATGATGAAGCCGAGAAAAGCCAGGTATTAGTAATTATGTACACTGCGGGGTATGCGTGGTCTGTGGTTGCTGGGGTGCTTTTCCCCTAATGAGAACCCAACGAGAGAGGACACAGGAGTAAACTGGAGGTCTCTAGTGGCCACAGAAATGTTTTGGAGGTGGAATGTAATCCTTCGTTTCTATTACAATATTTTTAAATTAACGGGGTTAAAACATATCAGTGTAAGTGATGGTGTGGATCTGACTCTCTTTCTCTTTCCCCTGAGAGAGACAATAGGTTTATCTGAAAAATCCAGAAGCTATTTAATTTCACCAGGAGTTTTTAAAGGGAATTTGGTTTACTTATGATGAAAGTATATTTTTATTCTGTTATTAAGAAAGTAATCCTGATCTGTAAATCTAAGATTGGAATGCTTCCTAGAAATGTATATGATTAGAATGATTTCCAGAATTGTTCAAAAAGCAATTTTTTACTTTATATCATCTATGAACACAGTTTGCAATGCAGATTAGTTTTCACTTTAATAATCCAACATTGTAGATTGGTTGCCACTTGTAATCTGTTGAAGGATATATTGTGATTCTTATCATGGTTATTTTGACTAGGTTTTATTTTACTAGCAGTTATTTATCTTGCTTGCATAAAAATAAAGCTGTGATAGAATCAGATAGAGAAATGCTACCAGTAACCTCTGCTAGAACATAGTTGAATATCTCTGGTTATCTGCAAGATGCAAAGATTTAGACACACTTTTTGTAGAGCTAAATACACAAAAAGTTTCTACTAATTCCTTTTCCCTAAAACTGACATGAACGAAACTCAAATTAAAAAAATCCCAGTTTTTACAGCTAGATGACAGTAGTTTCTAGACATCAAGAAAAGCTTTCATCCTAATTCTCTTTTTAACTTGGAAAGTATATGATTATAGAATTTTGTTATCTAACTGGAAATTTAAGATGGTTTCGTATAAGTTAATACAAATTTTTTCTTTAAGCCATTCTGTTTAAGAATTCTCTTTAAATCTAAACATAACATTTCTTGACCTTTTCGAAATACCAAAAACTTAATAGTTGCATAAATGCTACTATTTCTGTTAAGCATTGATTCATTCTTAAGTGAATTCTTATGATTCATTTAATGAATCCTAAATGATTCATTCTTAAAGAATTTTCTTTAAAAAATAATAGCAGATACATTGAGAAGAATGACAGAAAATACCCTTCTGTTTTGCTGTCTAATGCTGATTTATATTTTGTTTTAACTTGATTATGCATGTTCAACAATAAAAACTGTAAGTACAATTAATGTGTTTCTGTGACTTGATAATTATTGAAAATTTGCTTTCCTCTTTAAGAGATTTAAATTGTCAAGAGCTGAATTAGTTATCTAAATGTTTTGGCTAATGGTATATATTAAAAAATTAGGAATATATTAATGATCAAAATTTTATTCCTTACCCCTCCCTCTCTCCCTTCATTCCTTGCTTCCTTTCTTCCACCTTTTAAACTTTAAGTTCTCTTTGAAGTTTTGACCTTTGCATGGGCAAAGTGAAGAAGAGAAAAACCTGCCTTGTTTTTGCCTCAGCTACAAGAAAAGATAATGTGATGGATCTAGTTCAGTTAGTCTGCTGAGGTTTTTGGGAATCAGGTTGAAGTCTCTATGCCTAAAAAGTACTGATTGCCTGGATCCATGTGAAGCCAGCTACATGGCTACAAATAACATTCTTGAAAACAGATATTGGTGTATTAAAACTTATTTCACACTTTGAGATGGCTGCCCCTTGTGTGTGTATTTTTTTTGCATTGTCATAAATAAGTGTATGGTGTATTGAAGGAAAACCATTCAGATAACACATTCTGCATTAACTGGGCTGTATTATCTAAGAATTGCTACATATAGTTTTTATTTTTCCTACCAATGAACTTGAAAACTCTTGGTATAGTCATCATTCAATAGACTAATATTTTCTAAATTAGTAAGAAGAACACCTTACAGAAATAATCAGGTAGTGCTGATATCTCTCAAAGCCAAGCAATGGCAGTTCTTGGTCTCGAGCTGCTCACTTCCTGCAGTAACTGCTGTACTTGCTACAGCACCAAACATTAATAGATTTGCTGAAGATTCTGGGTTTGAAGATTAACTTGAAAGCAATGTGTTTGCTACCATGAATCATGACTCAAATTACCCTCCTCTGCTTTACTATGTGTATATAAATGCAAATGTTGTTACAGAAAATACGCTTAAAATGTCCACACAATGTGCAATTAGTATGACATTGTCATGTTTCTGCATGTGATACCTGTATGGTGAAATTATTTCAATTCAGATATGTTACTATAATAAAAACACTTAACATAAGAAAACTACAATATGTCATCAAATGGTTATTTCCTTTTACATACACAGAGTGTTTTTCATAATAAAAAATCGGCTCCCAATTAAGCATTCAGTGTGATGAAATATATTTTCAGAGTAACTCTCTGCTGTACAGACAACAATAGCACTATGGGGATGACTTTACCTGCTATTAAAGTCGGGTTGACTAAACAAAACCGGTGTCAAGTTCTTAGCTAGAAGGCACACTTTTCTAAAATTTAGAAATGATATTTTTATATCCTTCTACTATCATTGCTTACAACAGTATTACAAATCTGAATAGAATCATGTCAGCATTTCAGCTGTGAAGTTCATTTTGGGGGGAATTTATAGTTTCAATTTTATTAAAACATCATGCAAGAAGCATGTCCTAGTCATTGCCATGCATACCATTTTATATGTAAAGAAATTAGAATATTTTTTTCTTAAAGAAAGAACACAAAAATCCTATTATTTGGTAGGAACATTAGTGCATGTGTTTTTAAAATTTTGTTACTGTTTTATAAATTACTGTATGAAAGCTCAAAGTTGAATTTTAATTTTTTTTTCAGTGACAGATAATAGGTGAGGCCAAAGTGGGTAGTTTGGTATCTCCCTGTTTTATTAAATAATTTGTAAGATTTAAAAAAATTATATATATATATAATTTGGGGCCCTGGCTGGTGTGGCTCAGTGGATTCAGCACCAGCCAGCGAATGAAAGGGTTGCTGGTTTGATTCCCAGTCAGGACACATGCCTGGATTGCAGGCCAGGTCCCCAACAAGGGGCATGTGAGAGACAACCACACATTGATGTTTCTCTCCCTCTCTTTCTACCTTCCTCTCTCTAAAATAAATAAAATCTTATATATATATATATAATTTTATTCAATTATATTACTGAAAATGTTTGTTAAGAAATCATCCCAAAGTAATTTCAAGTGTTAGAAAACTTCATACAGTGCCTTAAAACAAAATTAATATTTAACTCTTTTGTAGAAATATAATAGATCTTTAATTTGGAAAAAGTTATCTCAATAATTATTCATGTATATGTATAAAATGGTAACAGTAATGCCCATCCCCACGGTCAGGTGAATTTGGAAAACATTGGGTGGAGGAATTAAAAGGTGTTTCTCTCCTTACTGGACCTCTCAGAGTCTTTGCTATTCTAAGATGCATAGAGTCTCCTGCAAGGGACTAGAATGGGCATGAGTCCCAATCAAATTTCGTCTTCTGTTGCAACACATCTCTGAGGGCTAGTCTTTTATTGGCCAGACTTTGGAAAACACTAACTGAAACCAATGCATTCACTAATAATATGATTATTTATAACATTTATATACCTGTGGTATAATTATGGACACTGACAAGTCTAGTGCAAGAATTTACTTACACTTGTAACTTGAGAATCTGGTCATTTCCAGAGGAATATTTGAACCAGGGTTTCAACAGGGAATGGCTTGACCCAGCAAGGTTGACCATCGATAAATAACCTTACTGCTACATATGAGTTACATTAGACATTTGCAACATAGTTGTGAAGTGCAAAGTGTTGTAAAATGCTTAAGAATGTGATCTAAGACCTTGTGAAAAGATTCTAAGACCTTGTGATTTATTGGGTCCAGCATGAATAAAGCCTGTCTCTAATGGAAATCTAACATCAGCCATCAGCAGATGTCAGAGGCGGTGTGTAGCACACAATACATCTAGCAACACTTGTGGGCTGTCTGAAAGTCTCTGCGTGTATCGTACACACAGAAATCCGGTTAATTCCTGACAAATTTTCTTGTGACTGACAAATTTCCTTCAAAGATGGGAGTTTATTAAAAGTTGATTCTATTGTTTGTGAGAGACAAAATTAAGTCAAACTTTATTCCTTATCTATGGTAAGTTTTTCTTAAGCAGTGTGTTAGACATTTGGGAAGTCTTAAGAAGTTTTGTCAAGGATCATAACAAAAGTGTATAATTTAGACATGCTTGTTCTATTGTGCTGTTGCTAGTGTTAGAATAAGACAACTCTCTAAAGTTCAAGAAATACAAAAAGTTATTTTTTAAACTTGCAGTATGCTGTTAGCAGTAAAACCATTAATATATTTGCATGTTGATAATATATTTGATTTAGGGGAAAACATGACACAGTGTATGTGAAAAATCTAGAGTATATAAACCTCAATACAATTTAAAAGTACTATTTCAGCATATTGCCTCAATTTCATTAAAAGGATGAAAATGTGAATTCAGAAAATTACCTTGTCCTTAGGCTAAAAATAGGTAGATCATCAACACCTAATATCATTTCAGCTTAAATGGGTATTCAGTAAATGTTTTACATCATGATATGAAAAATACGAAGGAAAACTCAAATTTGGGGAAGAAATTTAAATATTTTTAAGTAAACAAATTTAGCTAATTCCATATGTTTTTAACTCTTCAAACCGAAGCACTCGCTTTGTTGCCATAAAACATTTATTACAAGTACAGAATAGGTAGATTCCTCAGAAACTGGCTTGAGAGTATATTTTAGTCATAGGTCTCTCAGCCAGTGATTTCTTCTGTTTGTTCTTTCCTGACCACGTCTGAGTTTCCACACTGGTCTCATTCAGTTCCACTTTTCCCAGGTCACATTACTCTTCCGCTAAAAATACTCAGTAACCATTGCCTAGTTTGATTATTTTAACTAAAACATTGAGTTCTTGTATAGAAAGAGCAAAGTCAGCTTCCACTTCTCCATTATTATTTACCCTTTTGGACTATTATCTTTAGCAATTTGGATGACTGTCCTTTTTCTCTGAGCAGCAGGTTACAACTTTTCTAAGTTTCATGGCTACTGAAAATCTCTTAGTCATGAGAACCCTACTTCTAGACCTGATGTGTTTTAATATTGATCTTGCTTCTTCCACTTGCTTTTTCCAGTTTATAGATCTGACCTACGTACTTAATTATTATATGGGGATTAGACATTTCTAAAAGACTGCATAGTACCGTAGCACCTTGCCCAGTAATCCCAAGGCTTTTGGAAAATAAAATGAAGCTTTTACAAAGACTGAGAATTATCTTCCTTAGCTTATTACCTATCATCTACTTTAACTGTTTACTTTTCTTATGTAATAGAAAATATACTGGAACAGGGAGCAGAGGTTGTGGGCTCCAGTCCTGGTTCTGGTATGAATTACCTGGGAGGGGCAGGGTCTTCGTTTCCTAAAATTAAATACCAACTTTGTCTACATGAGAGTTTTGTTGTGAGGAAAATAGGAATCACTTGTCTCTGTAGTACAGTATTGTGATTTCCTCACATATAGAAGTATTTCAGCCCTGGTCAAGTTGCTCAGTTGGTTGAAGTATTATCTTACACAACAGAATGGTGCAGGGTTGATCCCCTGGTCAGCATGTGTACAGGAGGCAACCGATCAATGTTTTATCTCACCTTGATGATTGATGTCCTTCTTTCTCTCTCCCTCCCTCCCCCTCCCTTTCTTGCTCTCTCTCTTTTCCTCTCTCAAATCAATAAAAAAACATAGTTGCCTGTGAGGATTAAAAATATATACATTCCACCACTGATCAGAAGACTGCTTTGTGATTCTAAGTTTGGTGGGTATGACTGGGTTTCAGGTTCTGTAAGGAAACTTATTACAGGTGTTCATCTAATAAAAAGCTTTTGTGTACCTACTAAATTCAGTCTCTCAAGATCAGTAAGTTAAATTTTATTCCCACAGCCAGAAATTTTAGATAAAAATTAAACAAAACCCCTAGATTTTGTTATTCCTAATAAAGATGGCGGCTAAAAGAGCCTCAGATGCCAGGTAGGCTCGGGGGGAAGAGGGCTCTGAGCCTCAGTTGTGGTGGCGCCATGATGGAGTGAACTGGGGTAGCCTGCGTGAGGTTCTGAGCCCGCCAAGTACCTCCTAATAAAGGCGCGTTGTCTTTATTTCCTCACAATGCCTTTCTCTACCACCCCCAGAGAAACACAACTCTTGCTGATACATTTTAGGATTGAGTGCTCCTAAAGGCAATACGATGTTCTGACATATTCTCCAGGCTCTTCTATTTACCTCATTTCTCATCTCTGGACAAGGGGACAATGTAGTGACTGGATTCCCAAGAAGTTTTAACCATCAAAATCTTTGAATAGACAGTGAACAGAGAGGAAGATTGCGCAGTCTATAAGGAACAGTCTTTTAAGTATTTGTTGTTAGGCAATGCCGAGAATAAACATTATGAAATTATAATAAACATTATGAAATTACCATGTATGTGCCCTTTCTGAAATAAGTTATAGAGAAAAATGCTAATAAATGAAAACTTTTAATTGGTTATTCCTGGTTTTTCTCAGTGGGTCTTAATGAATATTGTTAGCACCACAGACGACACTAGGTCTGCCGAGCACAGCTAACTTGTGCTGTGGGGTATAAAACACTCATGTTCTAGGTAGGGAGATACACAAACTCTACTAGGTAGTGCTAATGCAGACACGTGGTACGAGGGAGTGGCAAGGGGTTTGTGGGAGTGTAGCAGAAATCATGAGTATCCTGTGTCCAAACAGCGGGGAGAGTGTCGCAAGAGAGCAGTTCAGTTGGGTATGGCTGTGGAAGCAGGATTTCCACGGTAAAAATGAGGGTTCCAGACACAGGAAACATGAGAGGTGAGAGGGCCTGCCCCAGGGCACAGCAGCTCTGCACAGCTCAGTGTGGCTTTGGGTGCTGAGTGGATGGATAAAAAGGTAGGTTAGGGCCAAATTGCCAAATCCTTAGATGCCATGCTTAAGGGTTTGGATTTTATCCTTTATCCAATGGAATTAATGGACGTTTTTAATATCAGATAGGAGGTGGGGTCTTCGCTTTGTGGAGTTCGTCCTGTTGGCTTTATGGAAGAGGGAGGAAGTTGGCTCAGAGTAGGTTGGTGGCCATGGCATAGCTGGGACACTGCGCCTGGAGTGCAGGCG